CTAATTGCTTTCCTAGGTGTTCTCCATAAAATATTTAGAAACTTAGGTTGCACCACTCCTTAGATGGTTTGGTCACATAAAATGGCAGCCTTTTGATGACCCGATTAGGAAAGTAGATGTATTAGATTTAACTTATATTAAGAAAGGTAGAGGTAGACCTAAAAAGACTTGTTAAGAAAATATTAGAAATGACCTTTCTTTATTAGATTTAGATGAGAATTTGACCCTAAACAGGACACAATAGAGAAAAAGGATTCATGTAGCCGACCCCACAATGGGATAAAGGCTTGTTGTTGTTGTTGTTGTTATTGTTGCACTATGCGAAAAATAATTAGACAAGCTAGAGAAAATTGATGGGCTATATCTTCATGAAGATAAAAATCACTTGTCATTTTCCTTCATTTTCACCCTCAATATAGAAGTCATTTGAGAACATAATTATAAACTAGGCTATCCCTCTTTCAAAACCATTTCCTTTTATTTTTTAAAATGTAAACATGAAAAATTCTTATTGCATGGCTTGTGAAATTGGCAAGCATAATCGTGTTATTTGTTCTAAAAATGAATATAGATCCACCACACCTTTTTATAATTGCTCACTCTGGCATTTGGGGACATTCCCAAATCTCCAATATTTCTAGAGCTACAACCTCTATAAACTTCATTGATGATTGCACTCGGATGACATGGATAATCTTATCAAGCAAAAATCTGATGTGAACATTATTGTGACAAAAATAATTCAATATTAACATCAAGATTGTTGAACTAATAATGCTATAAATGAGACTGACAGGTAAAGGATATACTTCATCTTATGAAATTAACTGCCAAAAAACTTATGCTCATTACGCTAAGTTAAATATAATACAACAATAACAAGCCTTTTATTACACTACATGGGGTCGGCTACATAAATCCTTTTTCTCCATTGTGTCATATTAAAAGTCAAATTCTCGTTTAAATCTAATAAAGAAATATCATTTCTAATATTTTCTAACCAAGTCTCTGTCTCTACCTTTCTTAACATAAGTCAAATCTAATGCCTCTACTTTCCTAGCCGGGTCATCGAAAGGCAGCCGTTTTATGTGACCAAACCATCTAAGGCGTCTCTCTAATCTTATCTTCTATTGGAGCTACTCCAACCTTTTCACGTATATGCTCATTTCATATCCCATCTCTAAGGGTAAAGCCACTCATCCACCTGAGCATCCTCATCTCTACCACAATGCTTCTCTTTTAATGGCCAACATTCGGCACCATAAAGCATTGCAGGCCTCACCACCATCTTATAGAATTTTCCCTTAAGTTTAAGGTGTACTTTTTTATCGCACAACAAGCCCGATGCATTCCTCCACTTCAACCATCCAACTTGAATTATGCTGATAATATCCCCATCTATTTCACCATCACTCTAAACAATAGATATAAGTTAAATATAATACGCATCTTAATTTCTCTTGTAGCCAATCAAGGATGGTCTATGTAACAGTATGATGTAAAGAATGATTTCCTACATGCGAATGTTGAAGAAGTTTATATAGATCAATAACATGGATTTGATAGTTCTTTCATAAAGAACAAAGTATAAAAAAAAAGGCTTTGTAAAACTTTAAACAATTACTAAGAGCATAGCCTGACAAATTCACAAAAGTCATAAATAAAATAAGATAAAAAAAACAAGATCATACCTTCTTTATAAAATACTCCACTACTAATAAAATCTCAAATGTCATTACATATGTTGACAATATAATTATTACAGGGGATGACAATAGAGAAAATGAGCCTATAAGGAAAAAGCATGCTGAACAATTTGAGATAGAAGATTGGGCAAACTCAAATACTTATTAGAAATAAAACTTGCTCAATCATAACAAGTTACATTCCTCTCTCTTAACAAAAATTTCATGAATCTACTTAAAAAAAAATGGCTTATTGCAAATCTTGTGAAAACCCACATAACCAGGTAAATAATTGAACATACATGACGAAGGAAAAGGAGTAGAAATAGGAAAATATCAAAAATAGTTAGAAAATTAATCTATCTCACATCCATCTAGATATCTTATTTACAATGAGTCTCATCAATCAATTAATTCACAAGCCTAAAGATTTTCACCTTCAAATTACTTATAGAATCCTCAAATGCCTTAAATGAAGTCCTAGAAAAGGAATCCATTACATAAAAAAAGATTATTTATAAATTGAAGGGTGCATTGATACAGACTATGCATGATTATCAGAGGATAGAAAACCAACAATGGGATACTATACATTTTTGGTAGGAAATCTCATAATGTGGATGAGCAAAAAAACAACCTATTGTTTCAAGATCTAATGCTTATTTTTAATTTTGAGCATTACCTAAGGACTTTGAGAGCTTCTGTGGATCTGAATCCTTTTGAAAGATTTAAAAAAATTAATTGAAAAGGCGAATGAAATGTGCTATGATAAAAAATTTTCCATCAATGTCGCTCATAAGTCATAATCATAAACAACATACTTGTACCAAGTATGCGGATCTGGATATACATTTTATAAAAGTGAAATTGAAAAATGGGTTGATCTGCACTAAATGTGTCAATAAGAAATCAACTTATAGATATTCTTATCAAAGGGCTTTGCAACCCCACTTTAAAAAATATTATAAGAAACCGACAATGGTAGATTTATACCATTTAGTTTAAGAGTTGAAGGATCGTGGAAACCACAAATTAACAGATCTCAGTAATCCTTGAGCACACGAATTAGAGTTCTAGCAGTTGAATCGATATTCTTATGGCATTAGATTGCAATCCATGTTCCTCAAGCTCCCATTCTAACCAACGGCCCCTCATGGGGATTTTTTTTTCTTTTTTTTAAATAGTTTTAATTTATTTTAATTATAAACACAATACACATAATCGAGCAATAAAATTTGAAGTAATTTTTTTCTACTTTTCTACAGGTTATATCATGATGAATTAATAATCAAGAAACATATAAATGAAGACCGACAAGCAAAATGTTACCCAAAAATTTACTCGAAGGAATTACTTAAGGAAATCACAGCAGCAATAATCACATGAACTCCAAGTAATGGAAATACTTCAACTCAATTGGAAAGAATAAAAAAGAAAAGGAGGGAGAACTCACATGGTCACCTCACCAACAGCAAACTAAATATTTTGCTTGAAGATATTATTAACTCATGGGACTTCACAGCAGTAATAAGCACGTGAAATCCAAGTAATAAGAATACTTTAGAATCAGTTGGAAAGAATTTAAAAAAGGATGGAGAGCTCACATGTTCACCTCCTCCAATAACCATATCCTGAACGCTTTCAGTAATGCTGGTGCCTGGGGCTTCAAAGCATGCTTTCTTCTGTTCCACAATAGTTGGCTTCTTCTCTTTATTCTCTAAGTTTGCTTTGGCTATTGTTTGCATGGAAGTGACCTTTCCACACGGAGAAACCTGCATAAATTGGTATGGCTTCGCTGGAAATACATATATATGTGCAATAGCTGCAACAGCCATCTGCAATTACCAGACCATATGAAAAAATATTCATGAATTTATAAATAAAAAAAATCGTCATCACAAGCAATGGCTATTTTTCATTATTTGCCTAAGATTGCAAAGAATAAAGGCATGCAGGTGAATTTCAATAAATTCCATCACAAATATAAATTCTTATACATAAATTTAGAATCAAATTTTCATGACAAATTTCAGCAAAGCCAAAGTTAAGCTATCTGCTAACTTAATAAGACATTAAAAACTAACTTACATCAATGCAGAAAAGAAAATCTTGGATACTATTCTGAATCTTTTCTTCTTTCGGCAATACACCAAAGTAACATATCATTGCAATGCCAATAGCTTTAAAGCTAATAAATTTTGCTAATGGATGGATAGGTTCGAACCAATGATAGGTCACAATATAGAACTGCACAAGACAATATAGAGCCCACATTTGACTGAGCTTATGACAACAGCAATATAGGGGTACCTGCAGGAAATTGCTCAAGTTCTGATATACAGGCACTCAAAAAGAAAGCAGAAAAAATATAAAAACATACATGCATACCCGTGATACCACTTAAACTCCCGATCTCCATAAACACCAAAAAGATCCAACAACAGCGCCAAGAAGGAACATAATGTTTTCAGAATCATCTGCATTTGCAAGAAATGTTAGACAATGCAAAAGAATAAAGACAGAATTAATGTTCTTCCAACATACATATTGGACAAGGCCAGACTTTACTATTGTGTATAAATCGTTTCCAAGAATAATTGGATACTTGGATTGAAGAAAAAATCATAAAAAGGACTACGATGCAATATTCCCTTCTCCTCATCTCCCTTGAGCAACTGCTCTGTGAGCTGTTTTTTACTTGTTCCTTTCTCAAGCAATTCCATAGCTCTTTCTTCACCACCTGTATCAATAGTTTTGCCATCATCAGTTGTTGATGGGGCATAATCAGTTTAGAGAAAGTTACAATAGCCAAATGGTTTTGAAGTCTTAGAGAAAGAAAATCCTGTTATATGCACCTTTGGAAAATTAAACTAAATCTAAAGACGGGATAATTAAGTAATCACATATGCTGAAGGAAATAGAACAACATGCAAATGCTCGCATGCATGCACTTAGTACATATATAGATAGGCATATGGATAGACAACCAAATACATACATATATACATATTTGTAGACTTAAGTAAATAAAAGAGAGGGAGGGAGGGAAGGATAGAGAGAGAGCTGAAATTAACACAATGAAAACTTGATAACATCCCTTCAATCGATGATTACAGAGATGTCATTCTTCTTAAAGGTGTAAGTAGAAGTACTATATACTTTTACTAAAAAAAATATTTAATAATAATCTCCTAAAAAATAAAATATTTTGAAAATCCTCTTGATTCATATGAGATAAATTTTACTCCATTATTATGATTAGTTTGCCTAAAAGGTGTTGTAGAAAAGAAAGAGCAGCACTCTCATTAGACAAACTTTTACTCTTTCAAAAGATTTGAATTAGTACTAATAGTATTATACATCTAAAGAGACGACGACTTGATTAATAGTTTTTCACCTATGGAAAAGATTACATTTCTTAACCCCATAAAAAAGCTAAGCTACACAACTTGCAAGAACTATTTTACTCCAACAAATAGGAACAAATTTACAGCATCAGTGAAATTCAAAACTCAAGAGTGAATTTTGAATTCACTTCCATCAAGAATTCAAAAAAAATCAAGCACGGCGTTTGCTCAAACGCCATGAATTTGGTTCATGGTATCTATCATAGAGTGGCTCGATTCTCTCTTGACGCTTTCGCTTGCTCATCTTTGTTGGATCTGAAGATTTATAAAACCTAGGTGCGAGTTCTACAAGCCATTTGGGATCGATGACGGTAACTTCACGCATGTACTCCTTTGTCGTCATGACAAGCTCATGATATATGACCCAATCTGGCTGCCTTTGGAAGAGAGCGCTGCTGGGATGAATGTAGACTGGTTGGTTCTCCACTAGGGTTCTGTAACCTTCTTGAGGATCTTTTCTAGCAGCATGAAAGAAGAATCCTGCAGTAATGGCCTTCCTTATCTTTGTGAAGTTTTTACCGGCACTGACAACATCCAATTTGTACCTGTCGATCAACAAGAAATCAGATGCAATGACATAATATTGGGATTTTGTGTTAATTCTTGAATCATGTCAATAGAATCAGTAGACAGACTAGCATATAACAGTTGCAGAGCCAAACAATTCTCTAAAAGGTGGCATAGTTAGGATTTGTTTAGGGGGTTGCAATTCTAAAAAAATAATAGTAAATTATTGCTGGAAAATTAGATTTTTGAAAGCTACAAGTATTACAAACTTGCTTCCTCTTTAAAAAATCGGATAGCCTATCAGAACGGGTTATAAAAAGCTATTTTTATCACAATTTTTTTAAAATAGCAATAAAATTGTAATAATTGTGGCAGCTATGAAAAAGTTACCCCAACCAAACTCTCCTTTTTTTTCTTTGAAAGAGTGCATTTGCATGACTATAAAAAGAATTGTGGCAGCATGTGCATCTATCTGAACTTAAATTCTAAAGCAACTAAACAATAAGAAGCAATCCATTTGAAGCATTAAAAAAACCATCAAAAAGTAATCCAATAAGAAAATCAAACAGATAACGATTGCAAAACATAATCAGGATTTCTTAATGCAGAAAATAAGAATTCTTGGGGGTAAAAATAGATGTTCATCAAATCCATACCTATCCATAATAGTGAGGAGTTGCTTTCTAACATCTTGAGCCCTCCTAAGGGAACGGGACTGTACAAAGTTCTCAAAACACCACGGGCCAGAAAAATTCTTAGCTTTCCAAGCCTCATAAACAGCAAGCAAAGTTAAGTGGTCTCCTTCTGGCTGGAAAAACTTGGCTCGCTTTTGATCTGCTTGGGCTTGCTTCTCTCTTGGCCTGTAGAAAATATTCCCAGTCTGAATCATAGCAATGATGGTCAGGATTTCATCAGTGCATCCAAGGTCCACACTAGCAAGTAGCATCTTAGACAATGGAGGATCCAATGGGAACTCTGCCATTTTTCTCCCTAGTTTAGTCAAAAGTCCTTCTTCATCTAAAGCTCCTAGACTGTACAACTGTTCCATGGCAGATATAAGGGCTTGAGGCGATGGAGGATCCATAAAATCAAAAGATAAGAGATCATTTATCCCCATAGCCTTCATATTCAATGTTGTTGTCCCAAGATTAATCCTCTGAATTTCTGGAATTGTGGTAGGAGACATTTCATTGCGATAGGCACTCTCTGTGTAGAGACGATAACACTTCCCTGGGCCAGTACGCCCTGCACGGCCGGCTCTTTGCTTAGCTGATGCTTGAGATATAGGAGTGATGACCAAGGAATCAAGCCCTTGTTTAGGGTTGTACACATTTTGCTTAGCAAAGCCAGGGTCAATGACATAAAATATTCCATCAATTGTCAATGAAGCCTCCGCAATATTAGTAGCTACAACAACTTTTCTCTTACCAGGAGGAGCAGGATCAAAAATTCTAGATTGCATTTCACTGGGAAGAGCACTGTACACAGGCAAGATAATCAGTTCTGGCACATTCTTACCCAGACCTTTCATTCTCTCATAAAGAGATTGACAAGCATGATCAATCTCTTCTTGACCAGTCAAGAAAAGAAGAACGTCTCCTTCAGGTTCTGTTAAGTGAATCTGCAAAACAGTGATCAGTGCTGCATCTAGATAATCACTTTCTGGCTGCTTTGTGTAGAGTATCTCAACAGGAAATGTTCTACCAGGAATTGTGAAGATATTGCAGTTGAAGAAATACCCAGAGAACTTCTCTGCATCTAGTGTGGCTGAAGTGACAATCAACCGAAGTTCAGGCCTTCGTTTCACTAGCTGTTTTAGTAAACCAAAGAGCACATCTGTGTGGATTGTCCTCTCATGAGCTTCATCGAGCATGATAACAGAATACTGTGAAAGGCTTTCATCAACCAATATTTCCCTCAGAAGCATGCCATCTGTCATATACTTTATCACAGTTTCTGGCCCAGTGCAGTCCTCAAACCGAATAGCATAACCGACTTCCTCACCTAACCGACAACCAAACTCCTCTGCCACCCTTTTGGCAACTGACATTGCTGCCACCCTACGGGGCTGTGTGCACCCAATCTTTCCTCTTGTAGTATAACCTGCCTCAGCTAGGTATTGAGTCACCTGTGTAGTCTTCCCAGAGCCAGTCTCGCCAATGACAACCAATACCTGGTTATCATGAACAGCCTGAATCAGTTCTTTCTTCAATTTGTAGATTGGAAGACTCTGTCTTTGATCTTGTATTGAAAGTTTTGATCTCTGGCCAAATGTCAAAGCTTTTCCATATGCGTCTTTCTTCCATTCCGGCATGTCATAAGCAGACAATCCTACACCTCTCAGCTCCTGTGCAAGGTGCCTCTCCCCTGTCTCCGGCATTGGATCTTCCCACGGTCGATTGAGATCCTTTGGGATAGAATCAAGCATAGTTCTCTGTTGCTGCTCACGAACTTCTCTCCGCTCCTTGATGAGAGCAGACTGGAGAGCCGCTGCCCTGCTTAAAGAACCCTCTGGATTTTTGAAGATCTTTACAGGAGACATGTCAATGGAAAACCGACTCTGGCCTTGCAAAAATGCAGGTTCATCTTCATTGAGTTCAATCTCAAGTTCTTCTTCAGCGCCTTCTTCCTGATATAAGAGTCCATCCCCCTCTTCATCAAACATTGGATAATCACGCACATCCAGAACACCAGCTGCAATTAGCTGCTTTGCTTCCCACTTCTCAGGCGAGCTCATCCTTTTCAATGGCCTCCTGGACAATGCATTATTATCATCCTCAACGATAGTAATGCCTGAAAGACCTTTCCTTACAATAGGGCCATTGTTTCCACTAGAGGGGTTGGTCCTTAAAGCTTCATCCTCTGTGCTCTTCCTTAATGGCAGGAGATCCTTCCCAGTGTTTTGATCCACATCCCTCATGGATAGACTAAGCTTTTTCCCAGACACTGAGATCACCTTAACATATACATCCTGACCACGCTTCACCTCTTCCTTTGCATTGGTGACTCTTCTATTGGCAATCTGTGAAACATGAACAAGTCCCTCCTTCCCTCTGAAATCAGATAACTCAACAAAGCACCCGTTGTCCATCAGGCGCAATACCTTCCCCTTGTAAACCTCATAGAGCTCCGGTTCATCAGAATTCCTTCCACCGCTAGAACGGGTTCTCTCATGTCTCATGCCATCACCTTCGTCATCATCGCTATAAGCTCTATGGTTGCTGTATTCTTCTCTTCTATTACTCCTAGCTCTATCTCTGACTCGATCATACCTGTGATCCCGATCACGGTCGCGATGGACTCTCCGATCTCTGTCCTGATCACGATCGCGATGGCGATCGCGATTTCTATCGCGATCCCTGTCGCGGTGCTTACTTTCCTCGTCCGCTTTAACCTGAACTTCCTTCTCGATCTCACGCTCTAGCTCCTTGACGCGTTCGCGGTCGTCCACACGGGAAAGTCCGGGAAAGGGGGCAGATTTTTTCTTCGAAGAAGAATCAGAGTTGGGCTTGGATTTGGATTTGGGGGGTAGGATTGCATGTATGATGGTGAGGAGAGTGCGTACGAAATAGTCGGGCATTTCAGCTCCGTTTTCCTTGAGCTTCGCATCGAATTCCTCCACTGATTCGGCGTTCCGGCCAAGTTCGGTGATGAACTCCGCCAGAATTTTATCGCCGCAGCCCAGATGGCTTTCAAGTTCGGTACACACCTTCGAAACGAGGGAAAGAAACTCGAGTTTTTTTAGGCCGTCCTCGGCCTCCGCCACCGCCGCCGGCATAAGGATCTTCAACGTCGTGAATTCCGAACCAACAGGAAGGAGCGAAGTCGAACAGCAACACAGTAGCAGCAGAAGCGAATCGTGCAAAACTACGGAGTCGAACGGCGACGGCAAATGGAGAAATGAAAATCAAGCCCTAGAGGTAGGGGTGTCAAGACGGGCCTTCGGATCTGGTTCGAGTCTAATCTAAATGCAACTCAAATTCGACTCGATTATAAAAATAGGTCGGAAATCTGTATCCAAATTTGATCTGATTCGGATTCGGATCAATCCAAAATGACTCACGATTTGAAAGCTAAAATTAATTATGAAAATTGTTGCTATTTGGACCGAGCGGCAATTGTTATTGATGGAGATATGGACGAGAGCATCAATCCGACCCTATTATGACGTCTTTCTACCGGCCATAGAGTGGAGGAGCTAAAATTCATAATAGGAATCCTCCCTATATGGTCAACCGGCATCTTCATATCCACCGCCAAATTTAACAACTACACCTTTGGGCTTTAGCTTAGTCCAGGCAAAGTCAATGGACCACAAGCTCGCTGGCGACTTCAACATTCCACAAGCAAGCCTCTTCTATCTTCTCCTCCATTGCCTTTGATGGCCTCTATCCTTCCGCCTTATCGTAATTGGCCCTCCCCAATCAGATAACACAGACGCCCTGCAGTAAGTCGGTTGGAATTTCAAACTTAGAAGCTCCCTCAACTACTAAATACCGTGTGTTTGTCGCAAATAGTTTGACCGACCTCGAACCTTACATGCTTGAGTCCCCATCTTTTGCCAACAGCGATTTTGATGAACTTGAAGTTGTGACGGCATCTCTGTTTCCGGGTCAACCTTGGTTGATTTCGAATTTTCGAATTAACCTGAAACCGACCTGATTTTATAGACAGGTCGGAATCTCGAACCCGAACCCAACCCGTATGGCAAACAGGTTGACCCAAACCCGAAATTTCCCAAGTCATACAGGTCAAATTTTGACACCCCTAACTAGAAGCCTCTAACCTATTAGTCTAACTGTGCTTTGATCAAGCACTTGAATGGTCTACAAATCTTGCACACTTATAGGCTAGAAAAATCTAACATGCCCAAGGCCTTTTAATTTTAACATCATAAGGCACTTAATTATTAAAAAAATGATCTACGATCTAAGGAATTAATATGAGCCATCTGATTGGATATTCCATTTTTGTTTCTATATTTACTAGACAGTTTATTCTAAATAATCTATAAATATGCCACCCTTTGAGAGAGATTTTTGAGCTTCGCCACTAAATTTTGAGCTAGGCCACACTCACTATCAATATGAGAGCGAATTTTGAGCTTGGATTTACTTGAAGGCTCTAAAAATCTTAAAGCTCCACTCAAGCACTGTCGCTAGGCCGCCCTTTGAACATAGTATATATGGCATGCATAAAGTCCACAGTTCATCTGATATGATATATATTTTGGAATACTAGATGCATACTGATAAACATATTGGATAGATTTACATGCTATGTTAATTATGATATATATAAATAATGTGTGATAGGTACTATTATTATGCTATGCATGATTATGTTCTAGTTGGCTAAAAATATGTTACCATATACATAAAGGTAAACTAATGGGCTTTCCTTTAAATAAAGTTCATAGTATAATCCTAATCGATATGAAAAAGAATGTATAAAGAGATTGATTGATATGATGCACCAATTGGCCGGAGTTATGACTCTAACATGAAGCTACATGACTTATGATTGATATGACTCATTTATGTTTATATAGGATTGGTATGATTATGACTAATTTATGTGTGGTCTAAGGGCCTGCAAGACTTAATATAGGAAAAATATCACAAAAGGCAGATGTCCTATCTTGCTTGAAATATGCATGCATACTTGATAGAGTTGCATATAAATTGATACACTATAACATAACATGATAATTACATGATTGATGTGATATATCATAACATGAACATGATGCATAACATAACTAATACATGCACGTAATAAGATTAGTAAAATTGATGCAAGAACACATTATACACATGATACATGGTATTTATATATGTTATATTAACATGATACATGTGTATTGATACAACATTACATGTATAGAATAAATCTAGAATACTTAATATATTGACATATATTACATAACATAGAGATAGAATAAAGGTATAAAATATAAACATGCATGGATTCAAGAATCCACCTATTATATTGTAATTGTTATGAGTATAGGAATAACATAATATTCTGATTTATAACAGTTGCATTGATTTATACTGTTAATATGAATTGATATCGTTTATATTGAATGTCACAAATTCTTACTATTACATGCTCATACTGACATAAGGAATGAATGATTATATAAATATTATTTCTATTATCATGCGTTGATTATAATTGTAGGTTTAGATAATGTACTAGGCTATTAACTCATTTCATGATTTACATGTTTCAAGAAAGGATAAGAATCCGATGGATTGAAGCTTATCAAGATTATTGGTTTAGATATTTAAAGTTCTATTATTTATTTTTCTAGTTATGAATGGGTAAAGGATATATTGATTTGAAATATGCATTCATGGCTACTGTATATGATTCTTTTGGAATTAGAGATGTATATTGGTTGATGATAAACAAAATGAAAGATTACTTCCGTTGTGTTTATTATTCATGTATGGATGTTTATGAATGACTATGGTAGTGAATTAAAATATTAAAAAGATAATTTTTTTTCATTAGATATTGGGCCATGGCAAATAGCTAAACATTAGGATTTTATAACCATATTATTAATATGAAATGAGTTAGGGTTTGATGGTAAGCAACAAAGCAGTGACACTATATATGAGGAGGATTTCTTAACACATTACATAAGAGAAATTTCCAAAAAGGGATGGGATAAAGCAATGACATGACCTTTCCTTGATTCATCTCCTTTTTAGAAAGCACATCTCATAGACATATGCCAAAGCGAAATCTCAAATCAAGGTGTGAACCCCTAAGTAATGAACTTAGGAGCGGATGCTAAATAAGTTGGAAATCATAAGAGATATTGATCAACTTTGCTGCTAAAGTGATATGTGAATCAAAAAGAGGCAAAGCAAAGTGGTGCCTAAAGGATAGAGCTGGGAACCAAAATGGGGATATATAATATAAGGTGAAGTGGCATTAGTCAAGTGTTGACATGCCAAGTGCCATATGGGAAGGATCGGAAGTAAAGGCAGATGTATGCCTTGAATTTCAGTCAGAAGCAATATCGAATCACAACCACAAACGTGATCCACCAACCTAAATCCATGCACAGGTTCTCAAATGGTTGGACCGACAAAATTGGATCTATAACCCCCCAAATCCTAGGTTTTCTCTCCTCTCTCCTCTTTGTTTCTTCTCTAATATCTGATTTCTCATTCTCGGCTAATGAAATAAGGAAGGAAAAAGGGATAATGGATTATAGGTAATGAATAAATATCTTTTTATAATGAAATATCTTTAGGAAATATTGATAATTATTCCAATTGGTCAATTTTTAGTATAAAATTCTTATAAATTATTTTATATTTTCAAACTAGAAGTTCTAAAAATTATAAAAAAATATTTATAAATTAGCTAAGCAATTCTAGAATGATTTAGTAAAATCAACTTGCAAAATGAACATCTAACGGTCCTAAAAAATTCACTTATATAAATAGGCTTTATAACCCCCAAATCCTAGGTTTCCTCTCCTCTCTCCTCTTTGTTTCTTCTCTAATATCTGATTTCTCAATCTCAGCTAATGAAATAAGGAAGGAAAAAGGGATATATGGATTATAGGTAATGAATAAAGATATTTTTATAATGAAATATCTTTAGGAAATATTGATAATTATTCCAATTGGTCAATTTTTAGTATAAAATTCTTATAAATTCTTTTATATTTTCAAACTAGAAGCTCTAAAAATTATAAAAAAAAAATTATTCATAAATTAGCTAAGCATTTCTAGAATGATTTAGTAAAAACAATTTGCAAAATGAACATCTAACGGTCCCAAAAAATTCACTTATATCGACTTGTGTCAATTTTTCATATTGCCCCAAAAATTAGGAGAAAAATATTATAATTAAAGCACAATAATATTTACATTATGATGAAGATAATTTACAAATTAGACTTATAATAACTCTTAAAAAATTATTTGATTTGGTCAAAGTATGGGTTATTATATGACATCTAACTCTACATTAGCTAACTTATGTTAGACTGCATCTTTCTTCCCTTTAAAGGACTTCAATGTTTTGGACAATCATTCTTAGTCTTCAATAAAAGGAGCAATATAATAATTATTTTTATTTCATCAAGAACTTCTGACGTTTCCTTTTTTAAACTGGGAATATATTTTTAGCATAAGAAGCTAACCATACTTCATGTGAGATTTTTAAACATAAGGTATAATAACTTGATACGTCACCAAAAATTACCTTGATTAAGCATGAATCTTGATGCACATATGAATTGGAAACTTTCAAAGTTAAATTTGGGACCATCCAAACTCTGATTTTAACAAATTTATAGTCCAATTGAACATCTAAAAAAGATGAACCCAACGAGACAAAATTTGGTCCAATTCGAGCCCAATTAGGTCCATATTAAAGGATGAAAATATATTTGGGAGTTTCAAAGCATTAATAGGATGATCAAATGAAATCCAAATATATAATGTTCATTGTCGAAGCAAGTGGTTTTATGAGACAAATCCAACGAACCCAAGACTGATTTATTCTAACATCACTAAGGTATTTAAATGATTGATAAATGCTCTATGATCAAGAGAATCGACATACACTACGGGAAAACACGCGCATACCGTCGGATTTTCCGGCGAAAAATTCTGGACGGTAATAAACGGCGCAGTTACCGGCGGATTTGCTCGACGTAAAGTTCGCATCAACTTTTCCGGCGCAAAATACGCCGTAAAGTCACCGACGCAGGTTCCGCCGACCACTCCGACGGTATTGGGATGCCTCAACCATTTCCGTCGCACGTTACGGCGGAACCATTCCGACGTATTTTACCGGCGGAAATTGCGCCGGCGTATTTAAACTCAACGAAATATATCCGACGGATGAGACATCAGAATTGATACTGACGTCACTAGTGTC